CCCCAAAACCCCAAAACCCCAAAACCCCAAAACCCCAAAACCCCAGGCAAAAGGCTAATTATTGAAACACTTATTGGTCTTCTTGACCTTGAATTAGAGCTTTGTTTGCTTCAATGTGGGCTTTCTCAAGGCTGATACTAAAATCAAACTTCCTGATGTTCATGTCACAAGTCTCTTGATCCATTTGGATCTTTCTGAGCTTCTTCCTTAACTGAGACTCTCTATCCATGTTACTCTTCAAGGTCTCCTTGAGCTTGCTCAAGGAAGTGCTATGAGAAGAAGGCTTGACATAGAGGAGTGGGACAGTCTGAAGATCGGAGATCTTCTTGCTTTGACTGACCTCTGTGATCTTCCGAGTAATCTCCTCGAGGTTAGCATTACTGATCTCCTCATTGCATTTCTTCAGGGTCTCAATGTTATTAGAGAAAAGCTCCTTGTTCTTGGTAATTTCAGCTGAATACATAGAGTTTACCTCTTGGACGTAGTTCTTGTAGAGAGGATCCGCAGAGTACAGCTCGTTCTTTTCTCCAAAGACCTGGTGAAGGCCCTTCTTTCTTGACCTTTTGGATTCATCGTAGAAGTACGAAAGAATGTTAAAGTTGCTCTTCTCAAGCAGAATGCTCTTGGTTTCCTTCTCCTTAGGTTTCTCAGGAGCTGACTCTATTGACATTGAGGAATGGGATGACGATGAAGGTGAAGGTGATCTTTGGGTATTTGAAGGTGCTAGTATTGATTGAACAGATGGAAGAGCTTTAGAAGCTTCTAAGGTTTTTGGAGGTTGTTCTATTTTTGGCTGAAAATGATCATTTGGAATATGGGGTTCGAATCTTGAAGGCTTAATTACTATTTTGTTATCTCTTTCGGTATAGAAATTATGGCTTCCTCTCCCATAATCCTCTTTCCTACTTCCTGTTGAGTCATCAAATTTCTTCCTAGAGAAATCCTTTTGCTTTTCTCTTTCAGGACTCCTAACTCTATCATGTTTATACTCATTTTGCTCAGAATTCAAAGCTATACCCTCTGGTTCAATCCGATTCCCTCTTCGATCTCTTTTCTCTTCATATCTCTGATATTTCTGTCTTCTGTCTTCTCTTCTCTCGTCTCTTCTATCTCTATGATCCTCTCTTCTACCTCTATGATCATCTCTATGATCATCTCTAAAACCCTCTCTATGTTCATCCCGCCTGGAGTCATATCTGCGCCTATCTCTTCTATCATGATCTCTTCGATCATAATCTTTTTCATCGTAATCCCTTCTTCTCTTGGGCCTGTGGCTCCTTTCTTCAGAGGCTTTATAGTCTTTATTCGGAGGCTTAGAGTCGACGATTTCACCTTGCTCCTCTTCTTTACGAGAGAGGTAGTGGGAATAGCCAGGTTTTGACATTATGAAATAATTGTAATTATATATAAAGTTCATTTTTGAGGTTTGGAATGGGGTTTTGGGGTTTTGGGGTTTTGGGG